TTTCCTTTTTATTGACTTACAAGAAAMTTTTGAATTCTTACTTAAGGCGGGCTCGTTTCCAGACCTCCCGGTATAAAAGTGATTTATGATCCTGATCAGCTTTAATGTAAACAAAGTCATGAATTGACCAATTAGAGGGAACTTTGAGTATTTGCTATCAGTAGTAATTAACAATCAAAGCYTATTCCGAAGACCCCAAAAAACGAAATGACAAGAGAACTCTAAACACAGCTTCACAGACTTTCTTACATGTACCTTAAGGTTTTAGCAGAGGATTAATCAGTTTTAATTCCTGTTAAAAACATTGCTCTTTTCTACTTATCGTCGAGTGAAATAATCATTAAATCCGGCATCCAGACGGGTCATGGATAGTTTGAGAACAGTAGTACTGATACTATATACCATGGTTAGTTTGGCGATGATTTTGGGACAAGAAAAATCAGGTAATTTCTTYATGAAATTACAGTCTTATTGAATGTGTTAACCTAACGTTTGCATTTTTTGTCTTGTGTCATTATTATACCAGATAGGAGTATAACGGGCCCACTTTTCGTCTTCGTATCTRAAACCCTCCTGTTGGCACCGACACGTTTTTCACCTCATTTCCACAACTGCCCTATAGATGCCACATGGACTAGATACCCTCTTAAAGMTTCGTRAAACAATAATCTTTTGTAGCTGGCAGAGCGTCGCTTTTATAAAGCAAAAGCGAGACGTGAGTGAGTTGAAGATTTGTTTCCTAAYGGGTTCTTCCGCCCGGAAATATCTCAGCAATATAACCTAGCAGATTACGGCATCCAGTTTGGATAACCATAACTTCGCAGACTTTCTTACATGTACCTTAAGGYTTTAGCAGAGGATTAATCATACAGTTTTAACTCCTGTTTAAAAAAGGGATCGAAACGAAACGTTTAAGRAAAAAWTGTTCTTTATCGTCAACGAATAATTATTCAAKCCGGCATTTCTAGACGCGTAACATGGATTAATAGTTTGAAAACACTATTATTGACACTTGCCATGGTTAGTTTGGAGATAATTTTGGGACAAGAAAAATCAGGTAATAGTCATATTGATTGGGTTAGGGTTTGCGTCTTGTTTGTCTTGTGTCGTTATTATTCTTCGTTTGCACGTACGTCATGGAAAAAT